AAAAAAAAAAAAAAAAGAATTAGACACTCCAGTGACTGAGCCAACTAGGCGCCCCCAGAACATGGATTTTCTAACTGTTGGCTGCTGGGCCCTAGTTTATGTGACTACAAGTTTATGCTGTGTTGCCACAGACTACCAAGAAGTTTGATAAATGCCCAGATCTTAAAAGCTTAACCTTCTGTTTGGTTAACAGTAGGACCGCGGATGTGTCTTTTTAAAAAATGTTTTTAGGGGCGCCTGGGTGGCGCAGTCGGTTAAGCGTCCGACTTCAGCCAGGTCACCATCTCTCACAACCGATCCGTGGAGTTCTGAGCCCCAGCGTCCGGCTCTGGGGGCTGATGGCTCGAGCCTGAGCCTGTTTCCATTCTTACTCCCTCTCTGCCCTCCCCGTTCATGCTCTGTCTCTCTCTGTCCCAAAAATAAATAAACGTTGAAAAAAAAAATTTTTATAAAAAAAAAAATGTTTTTAGGGGCGCCTGGGTGGCTCAGTTGGTTAAGCAACCAACTCTTGATCACAGCTCAGGTCTTGATCAGGGTCACAAGATCAAGCCCTGCCTTGGGCTCTGCACTGGGCGTGAAGCCTGCTTCAACAACAACAACAAAAACAACAAAAACAAAAAATTATTTGGGGCACCGGCCGGCTCTTTCCGTAGAGCATGCGACTCTTGATCTTGGGGTTGTGAGTTTGAGTCCCATGTTGGGGGTAGTAGTGTTCACTTGAAAAAAATGTATTTATAAAAACGATATGTAAATAACTTTTTAGCAACTATAAAAACTTTTATTTCTTGAAAGGGGAAGGAGGTTTTTTTATTTTTTTATTATTATTTTTGGAAAAAGAGCATGGGAGAGGGTCAGAGGAGGGAAGAGAGAATCTCAAGCAGGATCTGTGCCGACAGAACCCGATGCAGGGCTTAAACTCATGAACCATGAGATCGTGAACTGAGCTGAAGTTGGATTCTTAACTTACTGAGCCACCCAGGTGCCCCCCAGTTTATTTTATTTTTGAGAGAGCGAGAAACAGCATGAGTGGGGAGGGTCAGAGAGAGAGAGGGAGACACAGAATCCAAAGCAGGCTCCAGGCTCTGAGCTGTCAGCCCCCAGTGTGGTTTCCTATTCGTTATTGTGATTATTTCATGAGTCCTTTTTTTGTGTCTTTTCAAGTTCTTATTTTAGACTCTTTTTTAAAAATTTTATAAATGTTTATTTTTGAGAGCAAGCATGAGTCAAGGAGGGGCAGAGAGGGGGTGACAGAGGATCCGAAGCTGTTTCTGTACTGAGAGCAGTGAGCCTGAAGTGGGGCTCAAACTCATGACCTGTGAGTTCATGACCTGAATGGACTGAGCCACCGAGGAGCCCCCAGCTTATTTCAGATTCTTGGGGGTGTTCTAACTTACTCCTGATGCTTTCCTCGTATTCAGAATTTGTCAGCTCGTGTTCAGCAGCAGGAGTTATGTTTTCAGCTGGAATCTTTGTGACTTAGGTTGTAGAGATACTTTTTTCTGCAGGGCGCCTTTATTTGCTTCACCATCCTAGGGTAATGTTTAGTAATTTTGAAGAGTGTGGGTCATTGCAGGATAAGGAAGGTAATGAGATTCCATTCTGTACCTCTGACTGAGCCTTCAGGCTTCCAGCTGCTGGGGGGACAGGGCTCTTCTCCTCTTTGAAGTTCGTTGGAGGGTTTCTCTTCCCCACTCTGTCGTAATTATGGCCTTTTGAGAGCCACGGTATGGGGGGGGGCGGTTCTCCGTTGCATCCTCTGGCTTCCTGTGCCTCAAAAGCAAGACCTATCCTGAAAACAGGGCACCCCTCCGCCGTGTCAGGATCACCACTTCTGGGAGCTCAGCTTTTTTCAAATGTCTTTGCTGGACTTTAACATTTCTAGGTGATGGGGGATCTGTTTCAGGTCACCCTGTGGTACTTTTTAAAAAGTTTTTTTAAGCTTACTTTGTGAGAGTGCGCGAGCAGGGGTGGGGGGAGAGAATCCCAAGCAGGCTCTGCACTGTCAGCACAAAGCTTTTGAGGGGCTCCAACTCTCAGATGGTGAGATTGTGACCTGAGTCCGGGTCAAGAGTCGGACGCCCAATCACTGAGCCTCCCAGGTGCCCCATCCCGGGGTATTTTTGAGCTGTTCTTTGCGTCGCGCTCCTGGACTAGTAACACGTAGTTTTTACGTGCTCCTTCCTGACCCTTTATATGTAGACTTTCTTTGTAAAGGGCTTGGCACGCACACAGGTGCCGAGTCGTCATGTAACACTGGACCTTTTTACCACGGTCGCTCCCCAAACGTGGGAGACACCTGTGCAGGTGTCTTGTTTTGGGAAGTGGCGTAATTTCTCGCTGGGCATCATTTAACTCGGCCGTCGTCGTGCCCCAGCACCGTGGCCTTAAGACTGTGATGGCATGTGCTCGCTTCCAGTCCGAACGTCTCTCTCTGAAGTCTGATGGTACAGTTTCTGGCGGGGGGGAGGGGGGGCGGGCACAGAAAGCCCAGCTTCAGTTGTGGGTGTAGTAGCCTGAGTGAGGGCCTTGCTCCACTGGGTGAAGTTCCTGTGTACCATCCAGGGATAGGCCTGCTGTTTGTAAGTTCTTGGTCATTAGTTGAATGAAGTGCTTTTAGCCAATCAAAGTAAAAGAAGTAAATCCGTTAGATCTCGCCTCTTAATTTTTTTTAATGTTTATTTTTGAGAGAGAGGGAGAGCGCAAGCAGGGGAGAGGCAGAGAGAGAGGAGACACAGAATCCAAAGCAGGCTCCAGGCTCTGAGCTGTCAGCACAGAGCCCGACGTGGGGCTCGAGGCCACAAACTGAGATCATGACCTGAGCCGAAGTCGGACGCTCAACCGACTGAGCCACCCAGGCGCCCGATCTCACACCCGTGTAGTCGGTCTGTGGCACCCGAGGCCAAGCCTTGTTAGCAATGGTAGGAGTAGGATGGGTTTTCGTTGTCCTGCCCTGTGAAGTGACAAAAGCCACTGAAGCAAATTGCTGCTGCTAGTTTTCCACTGACGGCCTAATCTGTAGGGAGAGCCGGTGGGAGGGTGAAGCCACAGGGTGAAGTTAACAGTGATAGCTCTGCTGTCAGAGACCTTTCCTTTTCCTTTCCCAGGGACTCTGGGGGCGTGCTTTAGCTCGTCCCCAGTGACAGCCACAAGCCGTAGGAGGTGTCATTGTGTGGTTCCCATGTTGTGTCTGCTCAGGGCGGGGACAGCGTGTTCGTCCTGGTGGCTGTGCAGTCTTGCCCAACGCCTGGCACGGGAACGCACTGAATGGAGGGGTAACCGAAGCTCCCAGAGCAGGGCCTATGTCAGGAAAACAAGATACTCACAGAAGGCCTGTCAGCTGGTGGTCAAGTGGGCACTGAGTGCCTGCCTCAGAGTCACCTGTTAGTTTTATTTAGTTTAGGCTATTATTAGGCTATTTCAGAGCTTTTATTCTATATTGAGAAGGGTCTAGGACACAAATCTTGGAATCTGTTCCCGGATGAGGGCCCAGCCTGACAGGCTAGTGGTTAGTGCTCAGGTGAGGTGACCTACCCTCCCTCTCCTGCTGTGCTCCTACCCCCATGATGAACCCAACCTCGGCAGTCATGTCATTGACCATGGATTTCTAATTGCAGGACTCACTCCAACAGCCTGTTAAAACATGGTGGATTACTATGAAGTTCTAGGCGTGCAGAGACATGCCTCAGCTGAGGATATTAAAAAGGCGTAAGTAACTGTATTTATGCAGTAATGAATCTGTGCACTTGGGCAGTGTAACTTTTTGTCTCCTGAAGTGGCGTTGCATGTGGTATAACCGTTTTAGAATGCTGCTGTTTCACTGTATCTTCAGACAAGGCAGTGAAACTAACCTTCGCCTCCTCAGACTAGGCCCAGCCTGTCACTTGGCATTGAGGGATGAGAAGGTCACTTGGTTTCCTCTGTTACTTTGCCTTGGGACAGTGGATTCTGTTGCTGCTTAAAGCAGATCAGACATTTAACTGAGGGATGCGAAATAATCCCAGGCAGTTTTGACATTGACTGTGGAACGGAGCTGACCTGGCACTTCACACTCTTAGAGTGTGGTGCTGTGACCTCCTCAGGGTAGTAGCTGTTCGGGATCCCTGTCGCCGGCCCCGGCCTGTACCGTTAGAGCCAGATTGAGTGCTGCGCCCCTGCTGGCCTTCCTCGGCCTTTGTGACCAGGGCTGGCCCACGGCGGGGGCAAGGTGGAGGCCACAGGTGGCACTCAAGGTGAATTGGGTCTTTAATTCGTTTGACCTTAATGTGTAACACAAAGTTAGACTTTAGCAGAGCTAGAGAGACTAAAAACTAAGCCTGGAACTGTTTCAGTTTGTTAAGGGACTGGCGTTTTTATTCACACACAAGTCTGTGCTACTAGGCTTAGTGGGTCTGCAGAAGGAAATTCAGGGTACTTGAATAAATCGTTCACGTAAAAATGTTAAACATAGCAGCTTGACTCCTGTGATGGGCCTGCCCTGTGTCAAACCGCAGCCAAGCAACTTGAGTAGGAGGGCCCAGGAAGTGCCTTTGAGCTGTGTCACCCGTGGGGCCCCTCACGTCTGCCAGCTCACAGCTCACAGACAGCAGTCGCCAGTTAATTGCACTATTCTTGAATAAACATAATATGTAAATAGTATTTCCACTAACTGATGGAGAAACATGCCCACGTTATGCTAAACACGGTCAGGAAGGGGATTGGTTTAGTTTCTTATGAGAACGTGGGCCGGCCGTTGTCTTCAGGGTGGCTTTGAAGTGTGAACTTAGAAAATGCCATCGTTAAATGGAAGAAGATTTTCCCATTAAGTGTGCAGTTGAATACTGACTTAGACTAGATGCAGCCTTCCTTTAAATGAGCAAAACTGCATCCATGGCTGGTGCGTGTTCGTAGTCCGTTTTGTGGACTCTAGGCTTTGATCTTGTGCAGTGACCAGAGAAACTTTTGTTTGAGGGGTGATTGTAGGTGGCTGTCCCCTCCCTGCGCATTTCTCCGGGGAGACCTACAGTCTTACCTGTGTTTGTGTCGCAGGCCGTGTGTCCTTGGCGCTCGCTTACTGGTGTGGAGCCGGACGTCAGTCTCAAGGCCAACACTGAAAGACATTTGATGTTCTTTACACTTCATGTATCAGGCCTTGAGTCTAAAAACATGGCGTAGTCTTCAAAACACACCCATGAACACTCGGGAGTCTCTTCTCGTGTCTTTGTGTTCACAGGACTACCCCCTGTGCAAAGTGACCGTTCTCCGTCTGTCACACGGTCTGTCATTTTTTACCAAGGTTTGTAGTGCTTCAGGGCCCTTGGTCTGCTACTGCATGTTTAGGTCTGCAGTGAGGAGTAGAGCCCAGCATTAACTCGATCTTAGGAAGTTCAAGCCAAGATTTTTGATTAAAATGCTGCGATTAAATTGAACCGCAGCAGCCTTACATTCACAGCTTGCCAAGTGCTAGGACTCTCTGGTCCTTAGTCTAGTTTTAGATTTTGAGGGGCACCCCCTTCCTCCCATATGTGGTGCTTATGTTTAAGAAGAGAGGAGTTTTTTTCTTTGTGTTCCAAAAGCATATAGTTATTACTATTAAGTGGAACCTTCGGTGAATCTTGAATCCAGAATGGGGTGGCTCTGTGAGCGGTGCCAGCATCTGTCACACCGACATGCGAGGCGGGGGGGCTCTTCCTGCCCTGCGAACGAGGCTGCCTTCTTCCTCTGTTCTGTGCTTTCTCAGCTGCACGACCACGAGTTCACACTGCACGTTTTGGTTCTCAAACATCTTAGCGTTAACGTCTCTCTAGAGGTTGGTTTGTGTTCATGCTGTCTGGATTGAGAACTTGCTTATTTCATTCTTGGGGAAAGGAAGATTTTACAATGGAAATCGATAGCAGTTGCCCAGGTTTACAGCTCTGAAGCCAGTTTCCGCCTTACTTATGTTTCCCAGCCATTGGGTTTCTGCACATGGATGTGACCGGTGCCCTTTTTATTCCTTTCAAGGTACCGGAAACTGGCACTGAAGTGGCATCCAGATAAAAACCCTGAGAATAAAGAAGAAGCAGAGAGAAAATTCAAACAAGTGGCTGAGGCGTATGAGGTGTTATCGGACGGTGAGTGAACCTACCCAGGGTTTGGCTCCTCCCCGGGGCTAGCAGAATGTGGATCTGGGCGGCCGAGGTGTGGGCACTGAGAATGGAAGTTGCTTCCTTTTCTTGTGAAGCTTCGACTCCCGCTCCTGGCAGACACTTGATACAGTTACCCGTGAGTGCTGGGGAGCACCCTGGCTTCTAGCACTTTCTCTCAGGGTGGCTATTTTAAACAGTACTGACACCCTGGTCTGAGGACTGACAGGACAGATTGGGGCACAGGAATCCGTCTGGGTCATTGCATGGCGGTGGCTGTGACCACTCTCCGTCGGTGGCGCCGTGACCGCTCATCTCCGTTGTCCTGCTTACACATACCTGGCCAGTGGGCTCGTGTGCTGGGTTTCACTGCTTGGAAGGACTTCCTTGGTGTCAGGAAACCAGGAACCGCGCGCCCAGCTGAGTTAGACTTCAGAGCTCGGCCGCGCCTTCCCCGCCCCAGGGCTAGAGTGGTGGAGTGTTGAGGAAGTCAGCCTTGTATCTGTCAATACCTCTTCTCTTGTAAAGGAAGTACCCGGTGTTTTATCCCAAGCCCAGAAGTTACCTTTGCACAGAAAGTTTTCGTTCTCCCCGCGCCCCCCCCCCCCATGTTTATTTTTATTCGTTTATTTTGAGAGAGAGGATTGGGCGCCTGCATGAGCAGGGCAGGGGCGCAGAGAGAAAATCTCAAACAGGGACAGAGAGGCTTGATCCCACGACCCTGGGATTGCACCCTGAGCCGGATTCCAGAGTTGGACGCTCGAGTAAGACACCCAGATGCCCCCAGATCCCATTCTTCTTAGAACTCGGTTACCATCAACTGGCTTTAAGTGGTTTGCTCGTACACCCGTTCTCCCCATAACCTGTTTTTTTTCTTTCCGGTTTTATTTATTTGAGAGGGAGAGAGAATGCGCACACAAGTGAGTGAGGGGCAGAGAGAGAGACGGAGAGAGACTGTGGAACCTGGAGCGGGGCTCCATCCAGCTCTCCCGACGGGAGGCTTGAACTCACAAACCAGGAGATTATGACCTGAGCTGAAGTCGGATGCCTAACCGACTGAGCCACCCAGGCGCCCCCATAACTCCTGTTACTCTACCACACGGTTTGGTAGAACATGATGGTTTGGGCGGAAAACCTGGTGCATCCAAAGGAAGTGACCTGTTTAAACAGGGCTGCAGTGTAGTTGTTTATTCTAGAAGGTGAATGGTAAGAGGACAAGACAGTAGAGCATCCTCAGGCTTGGGCTGTTGTCCTTTCAAGGGCACGCATTCGGGTCGGCTCTTTCTCTGGCTCCGGCACCTCTATTTCCTGCCCCCACCAAGGCCCTGTCCTATTTTTTGGGAGAATGTGCACTGGTAGAGTTGGAATAGTATTAGAACTTGCGGTGTGATTTTTAAAAATTTGTTTTATTTTTTATCTTCTAAAATTTACATCCAAGTTAGTTAGCATACAGTGCAACGATTTCAGGAGTAGATTCCTTAGTGCCCCTTCCCCATTTAGCCCACCCCACCACCCCCTCCAGGAACCCTCTGTTTGTTCTCCATATTTATGAGTCTCTTCTGTTCTGCCCCCTTTAGTGTGACTTTTATGTACGCGTGAACACACACTGTGCACAGTAGCGTGGAAAAAATACCACTTTTTAGCTTAAAAAGTGATTACTACTTAATTTTTACTATTTAGTTTTTGGGAGCTTTTAGGAAGATGTACTTAGATTTTCCCTCTTTCCCTTTTTACTTAAAGTAATGGAGGCCTAACTCCTTTAAACTAATTGCGAAACCTTGAAAACTCATTGGTTCCTTGATGTACAACTTTGTAGAAGGCTTTATTTGAACTTTGAGGGGAAAAGAACTTGGTCTTTCCTGACTCTCCTTTCTAATTTGTAGCTAAAAAACGAGACATCTATGACAAATACGGCAAAGAAGGATTAAATGGCGGAGGTGGAGGTATGTAAATGTTGATTTTTGTCTTGGCTTTTCAGTGAGCGGAGGAGGCCATCTGGCAACGAAGGGTCTAGACAAGGGGTCGGGTTTGTCCGTTTTCTTGGACAGGCTGTGTTTCCGGAAACACAGATGTGGCCTGGAAAGTGGGCTGACTTGTGGAGATGGGCTGCCTGGAAACCCTTGCGTTCGGCTACAAAGTGTATGCTGATCGTGGTACTTTCTGTAGATCCGGAATCCGTATAACCTACTAGAGTATTTTGTGAGTTCTTACTCCCGGATCAGTACCTGATATTTTGTCAGAAGACCTTAAAAACTCTTACCTGACCAAGCTGATTGTACTGGCAGACCTGACTGCCTGTGGTGGGCAGGCTTCACTCGGGGGTGTGTGTGTGTGATGAGAGGTCCTAGCAGGGACCTGCCCGCCGTCAGCACCACGGTCGGTGGCCTCTTCGAGAATGGCACTGCCCACCAAGCACACGCCCCACTTGAGGAGCGTGAGCGAGTGTGCTTCTGTGCGTGGTTTACACGATGGTCCGTCCGCACAGAAGATGAAGCCACGTTTCCTACGTACGGATGGCGGTTGCAGACATGGTGGGAAAGTGCTAGCACTACCCTGCTGCCGTGACTGTGACCATGACCGTGAGGGGTGGGAAGCCTCCCCTGGCTTGTCCCCGCCAGTCCCAGGTGGTCTCTGTTCAGGCACGGCTCTTGCTGCGAAGCAGAGCCCTAGGTGTAGGAGCCTTTGCCGTTTTTTCGTCGGGTCGTGGTGTAGAATCCTCTGTAGACAGAACTGTTGGCCTACTAAACGCAGGAATGCACCAACTAAATGCCGTGCTGTACCATCGTAGGTGGAGTTCACTTTGACCATCCGTTTGATTTTGGCTTCACATTCCGTAACCCAGATGACGTCTTCAGGGAATTTTTCGGTGGAAGGGACCCGTTTTCATTCGACTTCTTCGGTAAGTTCGCTGTTTGGTGGGTGTGTCTGTGACTGAGGCGGACTCACCTTTCCCGTTTCCACACGTGGCTCCCTGTTGCTCGCCTGTGTTGAAGCAGCGGAGGGGGTTCCTGAACCCCTTCCCTCCTCTCTGGAAGGTGATCCTGAATGAGTACCTTGCACACGAAAGTAATAAAGGTTTTAACGTGCTCCTTTTCTTCGATACGGATAGTCCTAATTAACTTCCTTTTTCCCTCGTTCAGACGGTGGCCAGGATGCAGGTGCTGGGGGCTTGGCGGGTGGCGCTCTTTGCTGTTGAGCACTTGCTTCTGCGTGAATTTGCCCCGAGTTCTGGATGGAGACACTGGGCATCGTAGCAGATGTTCAGAAGACCTTGGATCTCTCCACCTGTTTGTTTCTCTGATTGTGTGTGGCGCATTGTGACTGTTCAGTTCACGGTTTGTGAAAAAGAAGGACACCTCTAGGGCGATGCCCTGCAGATCTCCCGCCGGGAGGAGTTTTGGCCGGCAGGAGACCGTGCTGTCCCAGCTGCCGTTGCGTTGCAGGACGGGTTTTCTCTTCACCTGCACCTCGATGCGCTGAGTCCGATGCCGGCTGTTCGCATGTGGCTCGGATGCGGGCGGGGTAGGGAGCGGGCGCCGTCGGAGCTGCCCCGGGTGCCGGGGAACTCGGGTGGCCAGAGCTCCCCCGGTGCGGCCGCACCCATTTCTGTCTCGGCTCACGGTGGGGGAGACGTAGCCCGTGTCTCTGCCCTTTGTTGCCTGGAGCCTGTTGGAGAGTCCCGACACCAGCTGCGATCCTCAGGAGGGACACAGCAAGACCGGTTCTGTCTGCAGATAGCGGGGGAGAAGCAGCGGACCCTTGCCCATCATAGGCCCAGAGAAGAGTAATTAATTTCCTGCCGTACCTGGTAGGTATCTGGCCTTTTAAACGGTGCGGCCCTTCAGTTTATTTCCGATGGGGATTCACAGAGAGTTGCCTTGTGTTTTACTGTGGTGTGGCCCGATTTGAAGACCGTAGCTTACGGAGGGAGGTGGGTAGGATGATACACATCAGCACATATTCCCTTTTTCATCCACACATGTCTTGACGAAGGCTAAGCAGTGGGTGTCCCAAGTTGGGGGTGAAAAGGTGATTGTGGTCTTTTTGAAGACTTGCTTTGACATTGCTCCCGGAAACGTAAGAGAATTATCAGGAAGTCTCCTTATTAATAGACGAGATCTAACCTTATCTGTAGTGTCTGTTAATTGGCCTTCGTGTATGTAGGAAATGTCACTGTAAGAAAAACACCGAGGGTTCAATGATCTTTCCTGCGGTAAGATTACCTTTGTGTCTCATTACAGCCTTCAGCGAACTTCGCGTGTTGTTTTGGGGGGTGCCGGGTTGTGTTGGGTGAAATCCCATGTTTGGATGGCGTGACTCTTCTGGTGGCCGAGTGAGGATCTCCTGCCATCGAGGGTTTCGGCCCCACTGCACATCGGCAGCGGGGGCAGCAGTGCAGGCTGACCTCTCTGAGCCGGAGGCCAGGCATCTGCTACACGTGTGATACCTTCCAGGAGTTGTTTTGGCGGAAGGGTCCCTTAGGGATTGAATTGGAGCCAGATTTTGTTTTCATTAGGAAAATAGTCTGATGGGCCAGGCTTCCTCATTCAAAGTGATTTTCATTGGGCAGTTCTTTCTAGAGCAAAGAAGGTGTAGTGAGGATAATGAGATGTAAATGAGGAAGTAACATATAGCTTTTACGCACTGTAAGTTGGTTTTTGTGTGTGTGTTTAATTTTTTTTTATTTATTTTTTTAATTTCCGTCCAAATTAGCACATAGTGCAACAGTGATTTCAGGAGTAGATTACTTAATGCCTCTTGCCCGTTTAGTCCATCCCCCTCCCACAACCCCTCCAGCAACCCTGTTTGTTCTCCATATTTAAGAGTCTCTTATGTATTGTCCCTCTTCCTGTTTTTATATTATTTTTGCTTCCCTTATGTTCATCTGTTCTGTGTCTTAAAGTCCTCATATGAGTGAAGTCATATGATGTTTGTCTTTCTCTGACTGATTTCGCTCGGTATAATACCCTTCAGTTCCATCCATGTTATTGCAATTGGCAAGATTTCATTCTTTCTCATTGCCAAGTCATATTTCATTGTATGTATAAACCACATCTTCTTTACCTATTCATCCATCGATGGACATTTGGGCTCTTTCCGTACTTTGGCTATTGTCGATAGTGCTGCTATAAACATGGGGGTGCATGTGTCCCTTCGAAACACCACCTGTATCCCGTGGATAAACGCCTAGTAGTGCCATTGCTGGGTCGTAGGGAAGTTCTATTTTTAGCTTTTTGAGGAACCTCCCTACTGTTTTCCAGAGTGGCTGCACCAGCTTGCCTTCCCACCGGCTGTAAGTTGTTTATACCCGATGTTCACACCTTCTAAATTGTGAGATATGTGTATGTATAGAAAGTTTTATGTGCATGCGTATTTTCACTGAGATTGTGGACACAAAGCACATTTTGGTGGGAATTTCTTCTTTTGGACTCAGTCCTGTTTAAGAGATAACTAGTCTTACTGTGATTCTAGACTCTTGGGCCCTCTGTTTTAGACACCAAGATGTTCACATTTAACGGTAGGCATTTCCTGTACATTTTCCACGATTCGTGTGTCAGTGATGCTTCTTCAATCTGTTCTCATAGGTGTTCTAGGTGACTTCCATTTTCAGGCGCTAAGGATTTGCACACAGGAACAGAAACTTCTCCACGGCTGCTACATGTACGAAGTAACGGTACAGCCTGCTGGCGGTACGTGTAGCCTAGATCCGAATGTAGGCCTGGGGGTTTCTGCCGTAGCAGTGGTTCAGTTGATGTTAAGCAGCGGCCCCATCCCACTTACCCGGGGCTGTCGTGACGTCCGTTGGTCGTAGCACGTAATTTTTTAGTCCTGATTTTTCACCCGGTTCTTTTTCCTCTCCTGTTCTGCCTTCTGAGAAGAGTAGCTCAGAATCAGACTGTGTGTGTCTCACGCGAGTATCAGTGCATCAAATTCCATGTCTGACAGGCTCCCTAAACGAAAGGGGACAAGAGCTCAAAGAACCAGAGACCCATGGGAAAGTGTGAGGCGTGAAGGGTATCGGACAGACTGCAAGCAGTCCTGTGCCCACGGACCGGCCAGCGACGGTCGTCACGTTATGGCAGAGGGCTGAGGCCTGGGCCTGGCTGACGAAGTCCCCGTGACAGCAGCCGCCCCCCACAGGAGCGCCCTCACCCCGAGATCCAGGGGACCAGCCGTACCTTCGCGGGCAGCTCAGTGTGTTCACGTCCTTCCCCGAGTGCTGAGCTCTGTCCGAACGTAAATTGGAAGGGATGGCCTGAATTTGCGTGAGGGGGAGCTGGTGGTGGTTTATTATTACAGAACACCATTACTCGGCATTCTGAGGCGGACAGCTAGATGCTGTTGGTGTCATTTAGTCCTCAGAGCCCTGGCCCGAGTAGGTTTGGAGGAAACGTCTGGGTATAACTCGACATTTTATGGGCTCGTTTTCTTACGTTGGAAAGCCAAAGCCACCTAAAACCATTTCCAGAGAGCCTTTTCCTTCACGATGGCGCCAATCTCTGAAGCCTCGTGAAAGAAAACACGGGTGTAGCGGTGGAAGGAGGAGACAGCCCGTCGGCTCGGGGGGTGTGGGCTCGTGGAGGGGAGGGGTGGGCGAGGGCGTCGTGGAGGGGAGCGGACTCACTTGCCCCAGGGAGGGCGACAGCTGACGGTCCCGAACCGGGTCCGGACTGAGCATCGTGAGCCGTCGTCTTGCTCCCCAGGGCTCGAGGAGGTGGCGAGTGAGGAGCTAGAGCCCGGGTTTGAGGACTCGGCGGAAGACGCCCCGAGTGAAGAGGACAGCGAGGTGTCGGATGTGATCTGTAGCGAGGAGCTTGATGTCTGTAGCGACGACGAGCCCAGTGAGGGCCGTAGCTGGGGCTGGGGCGAGCTCCTGAGCGAGGAGCTTGAGTCCGCCTCCAGTGAGGACGAGGCGAGTCCGTGGGACGTGGAGGAGCTCAGCGAGGAGAGTGAGGAGCTGCTGAGCGAGGACGGAGGGCCAGAGCCGGAGGCACTGCCTGTGCAGCCGTGAGCGGGGGCCGCGCTCGCTCGCGGGGCTTGGCTCACAGGACGTGTGTCTGCAATAAAATGTGTCTGCATTACTGGTGCCTGAGCTGGTCCTCGGTCGGGGAGTGGCGGCCCCCGGGAGTAATGAGGGAAACCAGACGGGGTGGGGCCCTAGGAGCCGTAGAGTGTCTCTCCCAGGCATCCTGTCACTCAGAGTCGGAAGCCAGCATTCCGGCCCACTGGGCCCTGGGAGGGCCAGAACGACTCCATAGGCCTGGGGGGTGAAGACAGGAACTGACGCCCTGGGTCCCGGAGGCCGAAGTTGAGGCCAGTCCCGGGAGGGAGCCCGCCTTCCAGGCCTCCGTGCGGCTTCTGGTGGCCTCAGATGGTCCTCGCACGTAGGTGGCTTCCCCTGTGTCTTCACATCCCGCCCCCCTCTGCGGGTCTGTGTCCGTCCAGATTTCCCCCCATGGGGACGCTAGCGACACTGGATTTGGACCCACCTTGATGAGCTCAACCTAAGTGCATCGTCGGCAGAGACCCTGTTTGTGAACAAGGTCTCGCTCACTCACGGGGCCTGGGGCTTAGGGATCCCACATCGTTTGGGGGGCCACAGTCCAACCTGTGGCATAATCTCCCCTAAAGAAGAGTTGTCTGTGGGTTCAGAAGCAGGAAACCTTGGAAGGGGAAAGGAGGGGAAGTTTGCAGCGAGACGTGCTAGGAGAGAGCAGAACTCAGGTGCACAGGCGGGAGAGGAGCAGGTGCTTCCGTGTTCACGTGGGCTGAGATTTCACACTTGGCCTCCCTGGGCACGCATGATGGGGAAGGAATACAGGGAATGAGACGTAAAAACCCACATAAGCGCGTCACGTGTTAGACAGGTTTTCAGCGATACCGAGAGGCCTCTTCCAA